CCGATGTCAGTGGGTGGCTATGGTCACTAAGCATTATTTCCGCCTTTTTTAGAACGTTTGTCTTGTGCAGATATTCAAAGTTACTTAGGTCTCTATCAATTGTTCTTGATGCCTTTTTTATCAACTTATTTAGTTTTATAATGTGCTGCCTTCCCAGATTGCTACCATAGCAAGTGATTCCAAAATTGATCAAAGTTTGACTGTATAGGACGTTGGGTTGTCAACCAAAGGGTCATAGGTTCGAGCAGGGGCCCCCACGTTATGTTTGTTAGTGTTTGAGCGCTTGTCGGCTGCTTGCACTTTATGATGCTCGCTTTCCGTGGAGCCGAGAATGTTTTCAAGTGATTTGGGATCTGCTGGGGTAATAAAATAGAATGTAAAGCACATAGAGCTTGTTGTTGAGCAGAGATATGCACTACACTAACGCTTCTTCTTCTTCTTCTTCTTCAGTCGGCACCAGCCAGATTTTCTTTCTTTAAGCGTCAAAAGCTACCATTTTGGCAGAGTGGGACCAAATTCAACTTCGTTTGACTGAGACCTTCAAAATGAAACTCAGGTTTTTTTCATGGACGAGAGTCGAACCGGCCGTAGCCGTCAGATCTGAACAGCTTATGAATTACAAGGCTGATAGCCAACTGGTCATAAGGCCAGGGTCATTTTTTTTTCTTTTGGGTGGGGAATATGGTAGTGGACAGTGTAGATTTGAAGGTGCTGTTACAGATAGGTCCAGAAAACTATCGACGTTTCCCTTTCCTGTGCGCTATAGGAGGATTCAAGAATCTCTCAACTCAGCAACCACGATATGCGGCAGTCGGCACTTGAAAATGTCTGTGGTATAATTAGAAAGTTTTGCTAAATAACGTTGTGCTTTTGTTGTTGGTTTGCTGGGGGGGTGTTTTAAGTAAGAGTTTTACGACACTTGCAATACAATACAATCATTTAAGTACCGACGATTAAAGGTGTTATAAGAGAGTAACAAATACCAAAAAAGAAGGAGAAACACGGACAATAAATGTTGGACAGGAAAGGAGCAAACCACACCAGAGCACCTGCCAACCGCCCACCGTCAATGTTTTCTACTCTTCAGCTGCTTGGTCAAATTTGACACAAGTTTGAACAATGGACGGATCTATTCGTAGTAGGCATTGATGCCATCGTTAATCTGCTCAGCCCAATCCGATTCAAATTCAATCCTGCCAGTAGGCACTTGTTATTATGCTTGATTGCCACCGTAAACTCTGCGTGTGTCTTTGTCAGAGCGGGTGGCTGGAGGGCGCCACTGGTAGGTCCCACTTCCTTTTATTTCCTTTGTTGTTTTCCTACTATCTATCTTACATCTTTCCTACCTTAAATGACCTTTCTATCTAGTGCCAATGTGCTTCTCTAGATTCGAACAAATCATAATAAAAAATAAATGAATAGAATTTGCACAGCTCATACCATACCCCCGCTCAGACAATCAGGCAAAGAAAGAAACAAACATAGCCCATGTCAGGAGCACAGATGTAGTTCAGAAGATTGCTGACTTCAGTGGACTGGAAAATCCCAAGATGGTGCAAAAAAAGTGCAGATGAGTACATTCAATTATGGCGGTAGGCCTGGAGAGGAAGGTGGTGCAGTACTGTTGCTGCCTTCTATCAAAGATAGTACTATAACAAGATGGGCCGCCGGAAGTTCGCTCTTTGCTTCAGATGGCGTTGCAGTCTGTTTTGAAGCTCTCTTTCGTTTTTCCAGAAGAAGAATAGGAACAGCACCTCCTTGCGTGCGCAGATCGACAGCCGTTCATCAGCAGTTCGGGTTCGTTCAGTGCGGAGTTTTAGTCGTTTTTTTTTTAATTTTAATGACCCCTCGCCTTTCATTCTAAAGTCAAATTAAACGATGAAAACAATCACTCCTTCCTCCGGAAGAGGTTTTTTGTCAACGTAACCATTTTAAAAAAGCGTTCTTCCGAAATGTTTCCAAAAACTTGCTTGTTTCACTTTGATTTTTTAAACCCAAGTAGGGTAACTCTGTTCGCAAAGAGTGCGCATTTGCGAAGAGGGCGCCACCGAATTTTGAGGACACATTCTTAATTGGTTCAAAGAGAGGAGTGGCCCCTCTTGTTATGTAGACTCTTTGCTTCTATCGTACTCTAAGGTATCGAATAAGC